AGGGTCTAGGCCCGAAACGTCAGCCTTTCTGCTCCTATGATGCTGCTTGGCCTGCTGTGTTCATGCAGCTCTGCACCTTGTTGTCTCGAGTATTGGAGTGCTCCTTCTAATGGTTCAGGCAATGGAAGCTCATATTCTGAAGACCAGTTATGTTCAATGATTGCCCTTGTTGGACGTGTGGATAGAATTTTAATACTGTTTGGTATCTGTCTGAGAGTTTTGCACTGGGGTCATTAGACATGCCATTCCCCCTTGTCACTAGAGCCAGCCCTGGAGATAATAGGGGAGCAAACAATTGTGGAACCTGGGAATTGTGCAGAATGCAATTGTTGCAACAGCTCCCTGGATAGTAGCAACATACCTGCAGGAATTGCTGGACTTTGAGGAGGTTTTCGGGAATCTGGCTGATGAAGGCCACGAGTGTACACTTGGTAGGTCCTGGTACCTGAGGGAATACAGCAATATACGCAAATCCAAAAGCTTGGGCACCTTGGTTGTCTGAGTCCATGATGAACTGGACAAACTGCAATGCTTCCCGGTAAAGGGCATCAGTGAACTCAAAAACACACTCGTGGGCTGCTGATTGGGAGCTGCCACAGATGTAGCTTGCAGCTCACCACCACCTTCCCAAGAGCATCATTTAGGGATGGGCAAGAAATGCTGGCCAGCCAGCAATGCCCACGTCCCACATGAGAATAAAAAAAAATTCTGAATTGAGAGTTGAGGTTTTCTGGTGGATTGCATGTTCAGGGCCACTACAATCTTCAGTGACACGGTCATAGCACTGCTTCCCAAGCTGTGTGACTGCACATTGGCTTGCAGTAGGTGGCAATATAGGTGACAACCCCCCTAAGCAACTGAAGACATCTCCACCACTGACTTTCACTCCTCTGCAGAGCGAAAGGAGCTCAGTAAATACTATCTCAGCACATTGTTCAGCAGCGCTGATGGTTCTGATTTCCGTTTTCAGATGCTGCTTGCAGCCTCCGTCTGTGGTTCGTGCTGGACACTCCTTTTTTCTCCTCCTCCTTGGCCTCACCAATGCTAGAACAGCTGTAGGGTTTTGTTGCTGAAACATCTGTCATTGAAAATACTGCTCACGTGCTCATCTCTACGGGGTGAGGTGCAACCTGTCTGGTTCCTCATTCCTCAGTCATGTGCAAGATGATCTTTACATTGTTCTCCATGCATGTAGCAATTTACCCAAATCTGACTGTTACTGGCTTTCGCTATCCCTGCATTACAGTTCTACAACCTTGGAATGTACAAGCTGCATAAACGGCTTTGTTCCCATGTTCTTGGTTTTCAGGTTTCTCAGCCTGTGAATGCTCCTGCAAGTCTGCATATGGAATAATACACACTGCACCATTGTCAGCACTGTTGGAGAGTCTTGAGTGCCCTTCTCCTCAGACCTAAATTAATCAATAAGACACAGTTAGCATGTCAGTTTTTGTAGCTGTAGGAGCCTTTATTCTGTAGTGAGTGTTCTGCTCAGTGCTAAGCCCTTAACAGATTGCGTGTGCAGTAGTATTTAACACTTTCTACTTCAGTTGCTTCAGTTAGAACATAGAACACAGAACAGTACAGCAAAGTACAGGCCCTTCGGCCCACGAGGTTGTGCTGACCTATTATTCGACTCTAAGATCAAACTAACCTGAATACCCTACATTTTACTATCATCCATGTGCCTACCCAAGAGTCGCTTAAATGTCCCTAATTTATCTGACTCCACTACCACCGCTGGCAGCGCATTCCATGCACCCACCACTCTCTGTGTAAAGAACCTACTTCTGGCATCTCCCCTATACCTTCTTCCAATCAGCTTAAAATTATGCCCCCTCATAATAGTCATTTCCGCCCTGGGAAAAAGTCTCTGGCTATCCACTCTATCTATGCCTCTCATCATCTTGTACACCTCTATCAAGTCACCTCTCATCCTTTTTCGCTCCAATGAAAAAAGCCCTAGCTCCCTCAACTTTTCCTCATAAGACCTGCCCTCCAGTCCAGGCAGCATCCTGGTAAATCTCCCCTGCACCCTCTCTAAAGCTTCCACATCTTTCCTGTAAGGAGGCAACCAGAACTGCACACAATATTCCAAGTGTTGTCTAACCAGGGTTTTATAGAGCTGCAGCATAATCTCGCAGCTCTTAAACTCAATCCTCCTGCCAATAAAAGCTAACACACCATACCCCTTCTTAACAACCCTATCAACTTGGATGGCAACTTTGATGGATCTATGGACATGGACCCCTGGATCCCTCTGTTCCCCCACACTGCCGAGAATCCTGCCATTAACCCTTTATTCTGCATTCAAATTCGACCTTCCACAATTAATCACTTCACACTTTTCCTGGTTGAACTCCATCTGCCACTTCTTTGCCCAGCTCTGCATCCTGTCAATGTCCCATTGCAACCTACAACAGCCCTCCACACTATTCACAACTCCACCAACCTTAGTGTCATCGGCAAACTTACTAACTCACCCTTCCACTTCCTCATTCACGTCATTTATAAGGATCTCCAAAGAGCAGAGGTCCCTGAACAGATCCCTGCGGAACACCACTGGTCACCGAGCTCCAGGCTGAATACTTCCCATCTACTAGCACCCTCTGTCTTCTATTCGACAGCCAGTGTTGTATCCAGACAGCCAAATTTTCCTGAATCCCATGCTTCCTTACTTTCTGAATGAGCCTACATAGGGAACCTTATCAAATGCCTTGCTGAAACCCATATACACCACATCCACTGCTTGACCTTTGTCAATGTGTTTTGTCACATTCTCAAAGAATTCAATAAGGCTTGTGAGGCATGACCTGCCCCTCACAAAGCCATGCTGACTATCTGTAATCAAACTGTGCTTTTCCAAATAATCATAAATACTATCTCTCAGAATCCTCTCCAATAATTTGCCCACCACAGAAGTAAGACTGACTAGGCTCATCCGGGAGTTGAACCTGGGACCTCTCGCAAGTTGATTATGTTTGTGCTGTGTGGGAATATGTGCAAACAGCTTGTCGGCCACACTTATTTGTACTGTGCATTCTCCGCAAGGCCTTTTTGTGATGCAATTTAGGAGAATGATTGATTGTTTATTTTGCATTTGATTTGTTCGCTCTCTATCCTCTCCTCTACACTATAACTTGCCCACATCACTGTAGGTGGTCCTCTTCCATTCTCTGGTGTTGTCTGTCCATTTCCTTTCTTGTTAACCCTCCTCTACTTGAACCTTTGGAGTTCAGCCCCCTTTTGAGTTGAACCCTGCTTACATTGCCCAGTTAACGTTTGCTGCTGTCAGCCAGCATGGCTGCCTTGCTTATGCAGGCTTGTTGACCTGGTCAGGCTTCACACCCTTACACTGTAAGTGTTTCACAACAACAACAGGTAAGGCCGCATGTGACTGAGACTTCTCGGGAGCTGATAAACATGGTCAGTCTTCACCCTTTACAGAGTAAGCTTTTGCACAAAGAAATGGCTTTGTCTGTGATCGCGTTTCCCATTGTTGCCAAAAAAACATTGTTACTAGAGCTGCACTTATCCTTTGTTAATGGTCATGGTAAATGGGGAATATGCCAGGCCATGAAGTTAGATTGTGTTTGAATACAATTTTCCTGCTGATGGTCCACATTATCTAACGAGTGCCCAGGGGTGAATTAGTAGATGTGCTCAAAATCTATTCCATTTAACAACTTGGTAGTGCCACACAACATAACCGCGAGTATCCTCAATGTGAATAAGGGATTCTGTTTCCACAAGGACTGTACAGTGGTCACTCCTACTGATACTGTCATTAGATGCATCTGCTACGGGTAGATTTGAGTGGACAAGATCCCTCTTGTTGGATCCCTCACCCCTACAGCAGCTAAGCAGTTAAGTTCTTTAGGACTTTACCAACTCATTCAGTAGTGGAGCTAATGAGCTACCCTTGGTGAAGGACATTGAATCTCCACCCAGATTATTTTCTGTGCCCTTCCTTCATATGGCATTCAATGTTAAATAGAGCTGATTGATCAGCTGAATGGCAGAAGGTAGTAATCAGTGGGAGTTTTCCTTTCCCATGTTTGACTCGATGCCTTCAGACACTGTGGGGTCCAGAGTCAATGTTGAGCACTCCTTCCTGACAATATATCACTGTGCTACCACTT